TGGATAGATGGATAGATGGATAGATGGATAGATGGATAGATGGATAGGATCAAGATTAGAACTTTCTATATCAATAAACTGTTTCCATCATAACTAAGGAGACACTTATGGAAAACCCAGAAGCAGAACTTGTATGCAGAAACTTTCTCCCCTTCTGGTTCTCCAATAACTTTCCTTCATCCACTTCATGAAAAACAATTTGCTTAACAAATTATTTCCAAGGAAAAGGCAAGGATTGCAAGGAGAATTCCAAGGATATTGCCATGAGTGTATGACAGTCTTGCATCTTTGTTATGAGGCCAAGGATACGTGTAAAGGTTCCATACTTTACTGTCCAATAATGTTTTCTGTGGCTTTGAACTTTCCTGGTTGCCCCTACTTCCATTACAGCCCAAGGCAAGAAATTGTAGGAAAACTTCCTTCACTGGCTTTTTAGTATCACTGTTTCTGTCATATATAAAGGGGACACCTACTCTTAAGAAATTATTGGAGAATTTCTCCTTCTCAAGAGAAATTCAGAGCATTTTTCTATATAGTTCTATTGTCCACAATGCCGAGTTGTGTCCAGCTCCAATACAGAATGCCACCTTCGGACACACTCTGTGAGTGTGTGTGTGCGTGTGTGTGCGCGCACACGTATCTATCTCTATCTCTATCTATCTATCATCTATCTGTCTATCTATATGTGTATCTGTATCTATCTATATCTATGGGAGAAGCAGTTTTATCTTTTTAATCCTTGTTTCTTATCTTTCCGGGAAAGAAAATGCTACATCTTGCAATAATTTTGAGATGATTACGATGGGGTGGGGGTCAGAAATCCACTCATGATTTAAAGCATGTATCAGTCTCTCCTTGCTAGTATTTAAATGGTTACATGGTTAAACATGACATTTCCAATGGTATGAAGTAAAATTACTTAAGTTTTCTGATTGAGTTATCATGAGAAAACAGGATTTAACAACTTTGGAACTTAAAACAAATGATATTCTCACTTATCTCTTTGGAAGATGCAAATCTTCTAAACCAAACCCATCAATATTTATTCTTTTCTGTATATTCAGTTGTAACTATTTTATCCACTTAATTCCCATAAACTTGAATTTCTTCGACATGTTTGCTGCTTCAATTAAATGACTCTGAGCAGCAAAAGTACCTTCCCTTTATTGATGCTGGATGATATCCATTACAATTATTGAGAATTACTAGTGTGTAGCAAAATGAAAGAGTATCCATATTATAATTAAACTCTAATACCCTTCTAATAGACTTTCTATTGTATGAAATAAGGACATGGCAACCAGAGCCAAAAATGTACTTGCCAGATTGTCAATATATCTGAAACTAATAGAAAGCAAGCTGGCAAAGAGGACTGAAAGTAGGTCATTATATTGTATGTGAATACAATAAATGACTGAGCTAGAAATGATCGGTCCCACTTAATGAGGCCTCAGCTTTCAGAAAGTATTAATTTTTAAAATCCCTTTCCCATGTTTGTGATAGATTAATAGCATTTCTGTGTTTCAAATTGCAGTGGGGGAAGAACCAATCTGTGGGATTGCATTTTATGCAATGGTGTAACAAGTACATGTATGTTAGTCAGGGACGTGTGCCAGAGAATAGAAAGGGGCATTCAAGATTTTATCATAACTAGCTTTTCTTGAGAAACTAGATTTTGAAAAGCAACTAAGAGTTTCAATTCCCTATTTCTGAAGTGTCCAGACAAAAATATTATTGCTACAAATATGGCTTGTCTAGATTCTTCTCCCCGTAGGGAATTGATTCCCTAAACTCCCCTAAAGGAATTAATTTATAAAACTTCAAAAAGTCATAGCACTAAACTGGACTGTGTTTATTTGATTGACGCTAGACTATATGGTAAAGTGTAAAGATGATGATCTTGACAGGTCATTTGTGTTTAACTGCTCACCACTACATTGTACACAGGTACAATGCCTTGACAAAGAGAAGGAAGAACAAATAAAGAAGTATTAAGTCCAAATGATGGGGGAGAATTATAAAAACATTTCAGGTAGACACTCCCACTGGAATATAAAAGAAGAGGGGACGCCCTATCAGACTTGTAAGATTATGATACTATAGCCAATGAAGGAGAATATTTGTACCTCAGGGTTGAAATGAGCGGTCCTTGGTGGTCTCTGAGTTTGCTTGTTTTTTTGCAGATGTTGCCCTACCCCATGGGTGTCAAACTGGTGGCCCGTGGGTCAGATGTGTCACTTGCAGGCCATGTCCACTCCAGCTCTGGGAAGGGGAAAAATGTCGCACTACATCACATGACGGCAACGTGTCTCCACAAGTTTGACACCCGTGCACTACCCTAACTAGGTAACATCATCAGTGCTAGATCACAGTACTAGGTAACATGATCTAGTACTGATGATGTTACCTAGTTAGGGTAATGAAACATCTGCAAGAAAACAAGCAACCTTAGAGAGCATCAAGGATCCCTCACTATAGTCAATCTATAAAGTATTTTTTAGTCTTCCATGAAACCTCTTTTTTTAAATCTGATCTGCCTGGTAGGTTGATAAAACTAGGAACCTCTTCTGAGTTTGTTTAACGTCCCCAAACCCTGGGGTGCACATTTCAGTCCTATTGTATGGGGACCTCTTCCTTTACTGCTGCTTCTTGAGTGATCATATGATGATGCAATATCACATATGACTATGTGGAGCTTCCAGCTTTGGGTTACAGAACCCCAGATGATCACCAGAAGCCACAGAAAGAGAAAGGAATATCTAAATTTGGATATTTGCTGGTCATCTGGATTTTTCCACTCCCCAAATTCCATCCAGTTTTGTGAATGTTTCTTCTGAGAAAAAAAAAATCTAGAAAATTAGGACGCTAGATCTGAAAATCACCTGCTGATTCGGACAGTAGAATGACCTGGATTTTGAACAATCTTCACATCCCAAATATGTTGTATGTACCCACCGTCTATGGTTTATGGCTACAGTATCAATTGTAGTTTAGTTTAAAATATGGTTAAAGAAACAGTGACTTAGCAGAACATGCGAGTCAGGTCATATTGTGATTTTCCTTAAGTGAGCAGTTTCTCACACCACAATCATTCAAATAGAGCAATCAATCACTTTGCATACTTTTTGTGGCTTAAGTATCTTCTTAGGGACCAACTGACTTTTGTAACCCATTGGCTTCAACCAGTAGCCACTAAGATTATGGAGCTTCTTCCCCAGAGGCTTCAGAAAATTTTGGAAAGAAAAACAAGGTCCAGATTGTTAACAATTTCAGATATTTATAAGAGATGAAACAGTTTAGGAATTATACGAAGAATCTAATTATGATTTCTGTAATTGGGCAAATTCAGAATGAACTCCCATAATCTCAAATCCTATAATTCTCTTATTAGTTGGGGAATACAAGAATTATCTCCAACTTGCTGGGCACCAAGTTAGAAAAAGCTGGCTGTACTATAGCAGTCTTCATTCTTCTTTGGCTTCCTTTTAGAAAGTAAAACATGGTTTCATTTCAAATTTACTTTTGAGACTATAGGAAACACATTCCTTTTATTTCTCTCCTTTCAAAAAGGCCATCTTGGCACTTTTCAACTTATCAGAAAACTTATCATTGCTAATTAGGAATGGACACTTGGGATATATGTATAAAAATATTTCCACTTTTACAATGGGAATTGGAAAACATAATTCACTTAATAACCTCCTTCTGCTCATCAGAGTTAAATGATTTGGAAATAAATACTATCCTTGGCTTTCTG